TTCCTTCCTTCCTTCCTTCCTTCCTTCCTTCCTTCCTTCCTTCCTTCCTTCCTTCGTTTACAAAGAAAGGAATAGTTTTGGGTTCAGAGTCTTTGTGGCAGTATATAGTAATTAGTATATAGTAATATAGTAATATATAGTAGTATATAGTAATTCAATGCCTTTAGATCAATATATTTTCTATTTTTACTGTGCATACACATATATACAATGTATTTTAAAAATTGACTTTACAATATGTAGTTTTATCACTTGGTTTACAACTAAATATATTGTGAACATTTTCTATAACAGTTAAAAGAATTGCATAGCTTGGAGGAGACATAATTTATTAAGCAATCTTGTTGGGGACATTGAGGCATAATTTTATTTTTATAAGGAGACTTCATTCTTTTTACAACACCTTTGGGAAAAAAATGGGAGTCCTTGTCTCATATAGCTATAGACGATGGAAACTTGTCCTTCCATTTAGCCTTTTAATTTGCTTCTCTACACCCACCTAATCACCATCAAGTAACCCATTTTCTGTTTTCCAACTTCTCTCTCCCATTTGCTTCCTCTTTTCTACCAGTCTCCCTGCATACATGCAGATGAACTTCCATTCCTTCAACCCTCTGTTTCCTCTCCTTAAAGAGGCTTTCTTTCCTTTTAAAGAGACTATTTTAATTGATTTTTATCAACTCTACTCAAAACTGTATCCTAAGGTCCACATTAGGATTAATCTTTAATAATCTGAAGATATAATTCAATTGTTTAAAATAACATTTTAAGAAGACCTTGGTAGAATTATATGTATCAAGAAACACTGGACTTAGGCACAACGGAGATATGGCTGACTTTCTTTTGACAAAAGAAGTAGTTTTTGTGGGGAGGGCAGGGCAAAGAGGTAAGAAGTAGTTGGCATTATAAGGAAATGTTAGAGACCATTTTGGAAATGTATTCATTATTTTAAGGCAACTAATAAATGATCATCTTTCAGTTAGGACGTTGTAGCAGCAGCCTTTACTGGTCATGAAATTTGCATGATATCTAAAATCGTATTTCTGGAAATAGGTCAATGGCAATTAATAGTAACTTTGTGTAGAAAGGCAGATGCCAGCTAGCATAAAAGTGGTACATGCAGACGGTGGTAGCTCTGGAGTCCTGGAAGCCATGAGATGCTCATCCACCACAAGGCCAGCACAGCCAGGTAGAAATGCCTGAAGAAAGCAGCGGAGCTGGCTGTGCCAGCATTTACATATGGAACACTTCTTGGACAGCCGGTGTCATGGGGCACAGACCCACAGTTCTCTTTGCATATGTCGTGCTCACAGTTCCATCCATAGAAGGAGTGGGGGGCAGGCACAAAAGGACCCCAGCATGCAGGTTCCCCCATTCAGGCAGCAGGTTCTGTTCAGCTCCTTACTGTCCTGTATCCCCACAGGGGCCACAAGCTGGGAAGACGGAGGACAGATTGCAGGCTCCTCCTGGGGCCGAATGCTGTCATCTCTGAAGGCCAGGTCTCCCTGAGAGGGACGCACAAGTTCCTGATGGCCCAGCCCTTAACGACCAATTCAACACCTTTAAAAAATTGCCTTTACTTTTACAGTTACTGGCTGTTTACTGAACATTTCATATAATTTTAAATTTAGAAATGAAAACTTCACAGGTGGAATTGAATTTCATATAATTTTCAGTAAACAGCCAGTAACCGTAAAAGTAAAGGTAATTTTTAAAATTACATTTTACAAAGTGAAGTAAAATAAGTGAGTCAATCTAGAGACATTTTAAGAACTTAAAGAAAACTTAGGTATGGATCTCTGGAAGAGGTAAGGCGAGACATGGCTCATAGTTGTGCAGATAACACAGGAATTACTTAAGTTTGGGAAATTCCGATTTAGGCCAAATTTCTTAAAGGAAATTGACAAGCTGGCTGGCTGACTCTTTCTCTTCACAGGTTTCCTGATGGAAACGTGGCAGGCAAACAACGATGCTGGCAAGAAATAGGACAGGCCGCATGAAGGCCTGGAGAGTTTTAAGCTCAGGTTGAGAGCACAGGTGGAGGCTTCCTGGTGTAGGTTCCGACGCACCTGCCTTCAATTTCTGCCTCTACTATCCATTTAGGCTGCGACCTCTGGTAGTTCTCCACTTTCTCTAATGCTCAGTTACTTCATCCTTAAGAAGTGGTACATAACTCACACCTTGTTCGGATTATATGAGTATGTGTGCATACAGCGTTTAGTGCAACGTATGGCACAGAGTCAAGAAACGCAGGATATTAAGTTGAGGTCATTTTTCTTTTGGGAGGACAAGGACAGGGCACGGGCTGGGGCTCTGAGTGGTAACTAGCGCGGGCTTTTCCTCCTGCCCTTCCTTTTGGGAAACGAATGTGCTAAAATAGTGCATGCAGCCCAGGCTCTGGCCTAGGCCGTCGGTTCCCGGCCATGTTTAGCTCCTCTGAGGTCGCCCTTAGTGAAAACACGAGGTGCCCCCACCCCGTTCACTCTAGACACCTCCAGAACACTCGCCTCCCGAGCACTGGAGCCCCGGGACACCTGCAGCGGCCAGCGGAGACCGATCTCCCGGCCCTGCGTCCCAGGACCGCTTGGGGCAACCTGCGCATGCGCGCCCGCGTCCCTCTGATGTTAGCCGTTTCCATGGCTACGAAGCCCATCGGCCGGGGATAGGAGAACAAGAAAATGAAGCTGAAGAGTTTCCTGCTCCGGTATTATCCGCCAGGTACGCGCCAGCCCGGCCCGTCAGCCCCACGTGGGACCCTGGGCTCCCAGACTGGGAGGGTTTGGGGCGGAGGAGGGCACGGGGACTGAGGGGCGGCGGGGTCCCCAGGTGGGACAGGAAGTCGGGCACTTCCCAGCCTGTGCCCCTCATTCCTTCAGATGCTGGACTCTTCCTCAAAACATTAACAATTACTCTTTTAGGAATTTAAAGAGTTTAGCTTGACTGTGCATATCAGTCCTTCTGAATTTATTGAGTGCCTACTGCTTACACGCTTTGTGCTCTGTGCTATGAACCTTTGACGAAGTTCATAGTCCTTGATTTCAATGAGTGAAGTAATTATGGAATAAATTACTTAACTATTACTTAGTAACATAAGCAATACATTAATTACCTAATCCTTGCCTAACTCTAATTTTAGGTGAGGACTTGTTCACCTTTAAAGAATAAGTGACACCCATTGATCACCCAGCTTGTTAGGGACAGAAATAGAAGTGGAATTCTTGGGTTCTAATTCGGAACTCATTTTCTAAATTAGAAACATCTGCAAACAAACAAACAACCAAACAAAAAAATCTGCAAAACATGCCACAAGGCAGAAGATAACCAAATACACTTGCCCAATGAAGTTTGGATAGAAGTGTCATAAAGATTTCAAAGGAGGGTAAGATACTTTGGACCTGTTTGGTTTAGCATAGCTTTATGAGGGATGGGACTTGAATTTAAGATTGAATGTCTCACTTTTCCCAGCAACATATCCAACATCTCCGATGAGGTATCACACAGAGATCTCATGATTTCTTTTTTCCAGTCCCATCCCAATCCTGCTGCTTCATCAGACTGTGCCCTGCCAGTAGAAGGCATCATCACCCAGCCTGTTTTTTGCCAGAAACCTAGGTGGTCACTTTTTGTTTCTCTCTTGTGATCATTAATTCCACCCTACCCCCACCCCCACCCCCGCATTGCTTTATCCATTCTGCCAGCTCTAAGTCCAAAATATTCTGTGAATCCATCAGATTATCCCTCTTTCCATAGCACAGATTTCTTGGTCTAACATCCCTTCCAGCTGCCAGCCTAGTCCAACCCTCCATTCCAGCCACCATTCCCTCTGGCTGGGCCATTCCAGTGGCTTTTCAACTAGATTCCTGGTTTTCTCCCTCATCTCCTACAATCCATCTGCCACTAGGAGCCAGTGGAATCTGAATTCAAGATCTCCAATAGTTTCCTACCATGCTGAGAATACAATCCGCACCCTGTGGGATTTGGCTTATCCTGCACTGTTAACTTCTAAAACTTCACTTGTGTACCCTCACTGTACTTCCAACTTCTTTAGCTTGTTCTTCTAAGACTTAAGAGAGGGTCTTTTACTCATTTGTTTTGTGGACCCAGCTTTCCCTAGAGCTAGGAAAAGCTGCTTCCTTTTTTTATTCAGTTTCAATTGATGTCAGCCACCTGAAGAGACTTTCCCACCTATTTGAAGTAGCCTGTGCTGATTTTACTCTATGCCATAAAGTGCTTAAAAATTATATTTGTCAGC